CGGCCCCCAACCCCCAGGACGTCGCGTCGTCTGCCCCATTGCCCATTCCCCGTTCTCCTACCCAATGACAACCGCCGTGCATCAGTAATGCATCATCACTATAGCGTTGCCGCTCGCTCATACGACCACACCGCCTCGCCGAACAAACACTACACAAAAATAGAAATGGCCTGTATTGCTATAGGCCAATGGCTAAATGAGAGATAATTATTTGGACATTTCTAGCTAAAACTGTGTGGCTTCTTTCCTAGCATTAAATTCAGCTGCGTATAGCTAAAAGTGAAGCCTCATAGCTAAAAACTTGGCAATAAGAATAGATTGCGAAATTTTTAGCTAGCTCGCTAGCTTTTTGCAACTTACCTAACTTTTAACTACTTACTTAGCTCCATAGCTAAATAATTTAATTCAAGGTAAACGAAATTTCTTTTTTTCGTGCTCAGCACTCCTCACTCCTCCGAGGCGTTGTGTTACGATTAACTCTCTGGCACCACTACCACTTATCACTGCCAGCATCACTTCACCACTCACTGCCTTGACAATCACAACCAGCACTCTAAACGCGCTCGCTCTAAGGTTGGAAGCACTGGAAAGTTTCCGAAAAATTTCAGGAAAAATTCCGGAAAAACGGAAAATTTCCGGGAACAAATGGAAAATTTCCCAGACTTATTCCGTTATTTTCGGGAAATTTTCGGGAAATTTTCGGGAACTCTCCGGAAAGTTTTGGAAATATCCAATCCTGGCTGGCTCCTTTCCAACAGCTTTCGTCGACCTCTCTGCCCCGCGATCCGACTTGACTTACCGAGTTGACGCTTGCATTGGGCACCCAGCGATCCTGCAAGCAGAAGAAAGAAAAACAGAGATATAAGAAATGGAGCGGAACACCACAAGAAAAATAAAATACAAACAGGAACAACAGCGCAGCAACAACAACAACGGTGCGCTCTGCTGTAAAACCAGACAGAGTGTCTCTTTGTTTTGTTTACTTTAATCTTCTTTTTCCTAACCCCCTCCGTCTCATTTTTTTTTGTCGTCCGGCCCTGCAGCGCGCGCGACTAAGATCAGACATTAAGTCACTGACGCAAAAATTTTAGCCTTGCATATTTCTTCCCCCCACCGCGCTCCCCTCTTCCCCGCGCCGGCGTCCAGTCTCGCCAACGGTTATATTTAAAACGAGGCGAGTCCGGAGCGGCAAAGGCGGG